GATTGCGAGTGTCCCAAGGGCCACAAGTGCGTCAACGGACAGTGCAAGTCCCCGTGCGGCTGCCCGACTGGGCTGAAGCGCTGCTGCAAGGACGGTCCCTGCGTGAAGTGCTGCAAGGACTGCGATTGTCCCAAGGGGCAGAAGTGCGTCAACGGACAGTGCAAGGTCCCGTGCGGCTGCCCGCCTGGACTGAAGCGCTGCTGTAAGGGCGGTCCCTGCGTGAAGTGCTGCAAGCATTGCGATTGTCCCAAGGGCCACAAGTGCGTCAACGGACAGTGCAAGCTTCCGTGCTGCCCTAAGGGACAGAAGCGCTGTGTGCCCTGCGGTCCGTGCCATAAGTGCTGCAAGGATTGTGACTGTCCCACCGGGGAGAAGTGTGTCCTGGGAGAGTGCAAGCGCCCTTGCGCTACCACAACGGTCATACCTCTCGGCAAGTAAGCCATGACGGAAGTGCTGCAATGGTCGTCATGCTGGGCGTTGGTAGAAGAAGTGTGTTCAGTGACGGTCCAACCCTGCGTGCAGGCAACGAGTACTGTGGCGCCCCTTTTTCCGTTTGCTAGAAGGGCAAATCCAGCATAATTCCTTTTCCTCAAGCACCACCACTAGTAGAAACGAACGAAGCGCTGAGGCTGTCTGCAGTACGCGGTTGCAAAGCAGCTTGCTTACCGGGAGTCGGGAATAAGGCATAGTGCACAGAGCGGGCTCTACAGCAATGGTTGAACGATTTGACAGATTTAGCGGGTAGGTTTCCATTGTAGGAAACAATGGGGGATCGAAGGTTGATCTGCATCTGCCATGATTGCCACTGGGTTGCCGTCTTCGGTTCTCATGAGTCGTGACAGAATAGAACTAGGCTCATCACGAACAGCCGAATCTCTGAACTTGGGACTGCCAACACGGGGAGTCCCTTATTGATTGGTAAACGGGTAATAAGGCATGGTGTACAGAGCGACGGCAGTGCGCTCTTGGTTTCCTGCAGTCATGGGTGACCCTCTATGAGGCTTTGACACGAAAGTCCGCCGTAATTGAGGAGTCCGAACCTGTTCCTATTCTCAGATTGTTAGCCTTCACCCCAACAGATCGAGCCGACTCTGCTTTATAGTTTGCTAGCAATGAAATCAATTTCTCATTTTCGCCCGTTGGCGTTTCTTTGAGTCCCAGTGCTGTTGTCCGATCTCTCGCCTCCTTTCCTTTGTGTTGTTGATGGTTCTCTTGTCTCTAGTACCTATATGTGGATGCTGATGGACTAAGAAGTTCAACGAGAATTGTACAATACCTCAGAGGGGCTCTGGATGGAATGCCTTTGCGTGCTCCCACGCCCGATGCGCAACCCCCTTGATCCCAGCCAACCTCCACCCGAACCTGCTTTTCCGGAAGGTGTGATTTGTAGGACCGACGGAGCCTCTTTCTCCGACTTTTCTTCATCTGTTTCTCTTGCGGGTTTCCCACCACGCACCCTTGGATCTTCAATGACAACAACATTCGCTGAACCATGATCCCCATGGATACAGTTCAAGACATAGTTTGCTTCCTACCGTACTTGTGCTAACTACAGGCAAATAGAGTTCCCACGACTGATGGTAACACTCACACTGTCTCTGCCGTTCCAGAGT